CACGTTTTCTGTGATACAGAAATATTGCACGATGTTGTGATGATCATCGCAGGAAAAGTACAACATTCAATTCATTGCTTATATTTGTGATGACCATCACTCATTTGAGCGATACTTTTGTGTATCACAGTATGTATCACAGTTTTGTGCGATGTGCATTCACACCGTTTTGTAGAAAATCCGAAATCATCGTATTATTTTGCAATAGGCATCACATAAAATTTGTGATAAAAATTGACCCTTTCTCCAGGAGTGATAAATCGTGGGAATCACACGGGGCGTTTTATCACACGAAAATGTGTGAAAAGTATCACACTTCGAATTACAGTGCCGTTATCGTGTCCGTCTGTCTGTCCGTCGTCCGTGTAAGTAAAAGGTGAGCCAGAGGTCTGCAAATTTCAGGTTATCGTAGGGGTTACTCCTGGACAGCGGAACGCCTGGTGCAAATCCACGGCTTAGTTTACTCAAATATGCAAAGTAATTTACCGGTCACATTATTTATTTGATTATGCACTTCGGTAAATCGCGAGACTGAATTGGTCGTGCCAAAGGCCCGATCATCGCCGCTGGCAGGCCAAGCAGGCCCGGCCCCTGGCGAACGGAGTTGCCGGCGCAGCGAAGTGGAGCTGGCAACTCCGTTTGGCGGAAGGGCGAGCCTGCTTGTTTTTAAACAAACGCGTTTCTACTACGTGGGACCAGAGCGTGATGTCACCGCGACCACCTGTTGGCGTGCAATTCCACAACCTCAGTACTGCCAACAACCGACACTAAGCTGGAGGCCCCGCCCGCCACCCCGTTGCTAAGTGTACCCAAAACAGACAGTTTGCCGAAGTCAAGTTCTAGGATGTCTAATGAGGTATTTTACGAATAAAGAAGAACAGGAGGAATCCAGGCTGACGTCTGCTCCCGGACCATAACAAAACCATGACCAAGCGCACGGTTTCTCGCGTATCTCTGCTAAAACTGAAAAGAAGTCATATCTGTTCTATTTTATTTTAAATCTGAGAACCTCAAACATCTGGCAAACGAGAAACCGTGTCGTTACGCGCCAGTAACCTGGGGCTTGTTATGGTCCAAAGCCCGGGATTCCTTCTCTCCTCCTAAATCGTAAAACCTCATAGTTTATACAGCCACTAAGCTTTTTTTGGTGAACCAAACTTTCCGCGGTGCCCACATTTATGCGATCACATTGACAACATAGTTTAAATCGAGGTACCAAGGGGTCAGAGTGAACACCCCCATCTGCAGTGATGCGGGTTTGCATGCCATTTTGTGCCGCAGGTGTCATGACGATGACGAAATATGGGCTGACCTCGGGGTTGACAGAATAGGCCAATTCACAACACTGTTCCACCTCGTACAACTGACCACCTGACGGCCAACTTCGGATAACCATATAACTCTTACATACACAACGCAAAAAAAAATAGACCAAGAGACGACTAACAATTTCACACGAATTTCCAACTGAATTCTTCAAATTAAAATGTTTATTACTTTATTCACATACGGATAAATAACTTACATTCCTTATTTAAGGGTCCGTTTCGCAGTTTACACGTAGTGTTAACGTTTTATTTTAAGCATAATGAAGCATAGTTTGTGATTTTAAAAGCGTACATCAGCAGATGTGAGTCAAAACTCTTAAAAATTGCGAAAAAGAATCAGGACAATTTCAGGATTTATGAGGCATTTTGGAGCATAAATGGGGATTTTTAAAAACATATTCGGGCATATAATTGACGTCAATTTTGTAACAGACCAATTTGGTGAAAAAAAAACCCAAAAGTTCTCTTTGCCACGAGGCACCCTCTAACCATCTGCAAAGACATCGTCGCTCGATCCTAAGCTCCACCTAATTGCTTGCACGGTACAAAAATTCTCATTTTTGAGGAAAAAGGGGAAACTTTTAGCCACTCCATTGGTTTGAGGAAAGTTCTGAAAAACTCTTGGATTTTCTCTAATTTTTGGAAGAGGTTCCACAAAATATGAGGCGAGATCTGAGTAGTTTTCCTTAAATATGGAAGGTCCTCAAAGTTTACCCCCTTTTCTCAGGAAGTGAGTTGTTTTTAAACCGCTCTTTTTGGTCAAAAGCTATACAAGCGGGCTTATGCCATCGCCCCTGGGTCCGTCCGTCCGTTCCCCAAGAAGGACGTGAGCTAGAGGTATGAATTTTTCAGGGTAAGATTGATGCCACTTCTGGACAACAAAACGGTTGGTGCAAATCCTGGCAACATTCCCTGAGTGGTAGGCCCGGTCATCGAGGGGTCGTGATCTCTTTCTCAAGTTCGACATACGGGAAAACGATGCCCGTTCTACCAAAAAAAAAATGCAAAAATTGTAAGAAAATTCTCGGATAGACTTTAAGGGTCCCGACAGGGCCGTTTAGACTCAGCTTAGGCAGCCCGCAATACACGGCCACTTTTCGTCAGTTTCCACGATTAAAATCGCCGTTTGGAAGGTTTTTTCAGGGGTACAAAATGTTGGTCACCTCGGCGAGTCATGTGGAAAGCGTGCCGAGTTGCAACCTCGCCGCTCCCGGTCAACCTGGGCCTCGAAAAGGTCAGAATTCCTCATATTTTGACAAAATACCTCAAAAATGTATCAACTACGCATCTGGGAGCCATACTGGAAGGGAATTCAATCCGAACCTTACCTCCTACCCCCGACCCCCTTCCCCGTACCCCTTCCCTTCACCCCCACCCCCCCTCCCCTCTACCCGGGTACAGTGGCTGCGGGAAGGACATTAAATGACATCGTTCTTTGATCAGCGCGACGAGTTGCAGCTCTTAGCTCACCGTAAATATAAAAGTAAAGGAGTCGCTCATTTACGGTTATATTCAGGGATCTCCAGGACTCACGACGAGGACGTGGCTGCAAGACGAGTCCCGCCCACCCACCCGTGGGCCCTTGAACAGTTTTATTTGTTCAAGTTGTAGTCCTTCTTAGACTTGAACTCGGGCATCACTCTCCTGGAGGCGATCTTCTGCCTGATTTTGCCGTCGCGGTCCTTCGGCGTGGACGTTTGTGCCGCCGCCTCCGTCACCATCTTCACAGCCCTCTCAACGCCGAAAGACCGCGACGGCAACATCAGGCAGAAGATCGCCTCTGGGTCTGTGTAGTTAAACCGTGCGCATGCATGCATGCATGGGTTGCTTGCGGCTTACTATTTTAGCTAAAATTTGGTGTTTTGATGGCGGAAAATAGATGAGTGTCGAATTTTAACATGTTTAGGATTCAACACGAGGATAATATGGGTGAATTAGATGAGTTAATGTAGATTATCGGACGCCCGCCGCTCGTCTATCTGGGCGCTTTATTTTCCACACCGTGCTTGCGCGTCTGCCAACTCATATGAACACATCTAATTCCCCCATATTATCCTAATGTAGAATCCTGAATATGTTAAAATTTGAGACTCGTTTATTTTCCGCCATCAAAACACTCAATTTTATCTAAAATAGTGAGCCGCAAACAACCCATGCATGCATGCATGCATGCGCACGGTTTAACTACACAGACCCTCCAGGAGAGTGATGCCCGAGTTCAAGTCTAAGAAGCACCACAACTTGAACAAATAAAACTGTTCAAGGGCCCACGGGTGGGTGGGCGGGACTCGTCTTGCAGCCACGTCCTCGTCGTGAGTCCTGGAGATCCCTGAATATAACCGTAAATGAGCGACTCCTTTACTTTTATATTTACGGTGAGCTAAGAGCTGCAACTCGTCGCGCTGATCAAAGAACGATGTCATTTAATGTCCTTCCCGCAGCCACTGTACCCGGGTAGAGGGGAGGGGGGGTGGGGGTGAAGGGAAGGGGTACGGGGAAGGGGGTCGGGGGTAGGAGGTAAGGTTCGGACCGAATTCCCTCCCAGTATGGCTCCCAGATGCGTAGTTGATACATTTTTGAGGTATTTTGTCAAAATCTGAGAAATTCTGACCTTTTCGAGGCCCAGGTTGACCGGGAGCGGCGAGGTTGCAACTCGGCATGCTTTCCACATGACTCGCCGAGGTGACCAACATTTTGTACCCCTGAAAAAACCTTCTAAACGGCGATTTTAAGCGTGGAAACTGACGAAAAGTGGCCGTGTATTGCGGGCTGCCTAAGCTGAGTCTAAACGGCCCTGTCGGGACCCTTAAAGTCTATCCGAGAATTTTCTTACAATTTTTGCATTTTTTTTGGTAGAACGGGCATCGTTTTCCCGTATGTCGAACTTGAGAAAGAGATCACGACCCCTCGATGACCGGGCCTACTGAGTGGGTCTGAGGGGGTAACAAAGAAATGGGGGTCGTTTCAAGAAGTGGGGGAAATCTTTTTTCTTATTGTTTCCTGAGGGGTAACTTGTGAAAGTAGAACCTTTTGGGCTAAAATGTCGTCCATTTGGCTCCCACCGTTTATTTACAAAAGGGGGGATGGCCGAAGGCCCGACCCGAACGCCGCAGGCAGGCCAAGGTAGGCCCGCTCCCTGCCAAACCGAGTTGCCGGTGGACCGAAGCGGAGCTGGCAACTTGGTTTGACGGAAGAGTCGGCCCATCTTGTTGCCGTGAACTGCTAAACTTCCCGTTGCAGAAACAAACTCTTTTTTGACGTGTAAAAAATTGATATTTCTGCTGCTCAAATCAAATAACGGTACACACACCAAAGCTTCGTACAAATGTTTAGCTAATTCCTGCAGACACTTACGTCATTTGAAAAATGTACAACGCCGAATAAAGCCATTAAAACCAAAGAAATTCGCATCGTTCCACAGAACGAGTGCGAATGCGAACGCCTGACCGCAATCGCTGCACAGTAGTCATCAAGCACTCACTGACACTCCACGCTATGTCATCGTTAGTGAGGCACAAGGGCGTTTTACTATGTGCTGTGATGGAGTTGTCGTCACACCTAATGTAACAAGTGGGCCCCGCCCTACCGCCTAACGGAGTTGCTACACTGTAAATCACAGTGTAATACAGACTACACGTTTTCTGTGATACAGAAATATTGCACGATGTTGTGATGATCATCGCAGGAAAAGTACAACATTCAATTCATTGCTTATATTTGTGATGACCTTCACTCATTTGAGCGATACTTTCATGTATCACAGTTTTGTGCGATGTGCATTCACACCGTTTTGTCGGAAATCCGAAATCATCGCATTATTTTGCAATAGGCATCACATAAAATTTGTGATAAAAATTTACCCCTTCCCCAGGAGTGATAAATCGTGGGAATCACACGGGGCGTTTTATCACACGAAAATGTGTGAAAAGTATCACACTTCGAATTACAGTGTAGCTTCGCTCATCGGCAACTCTGTCGGCAGGCACTTTGATTAAGGGTGTACGCAGGATCACTCGATTACAGGGATTACACATTAGGGGTGATCGAATTTTGCATATTTTTGATTCGAGAATTGTAATAGTGCGGAAAAGTTGCCCTGGTATATCCTAAGACTAACCATATTTTTTATATTTTTTTCGGCCAAAATCTTGTGTTCGAACCAGGGGCCACAAGTTTAACATAGGTGTCTTATGGGCGTTTTGGTTAAAAATTGTTAATCTATCCTTGCTCCTCCAATTTTCACTATACATCAAAAATGGACCCCAAATCGTGATCTACGTCAAAAACTGAGTTTAACGATGTGCAGTATGTCAACCTCCCGCTTCGCACAGCGGCAAAAAGAGAATAAAAAAACTCGAAAATATCTCAAAAAATCCGTTTTTTGGTCATTTTATTTTCGCTTGTAAGAGTGGAATGTTGTCATGTTATATATCATTAATCTCTGTTTTTGACGTAGATAACGATTCTGGCATTATTTTTGATGTACGGCGAAAATTAAAGGAACAAGACACCATTAACACTTTTTGATCAAAACGCCCATAAGACACCAATGTTAAACTTGTGGCCCCTGGTTCGATCACAAGATTTTGTCCGAAAAATATATAAAAAATATGGTTAGTCTTAGGATATACCAGGGCAACTTTTCCGCACTATTACAATTCTCGAATCAAAAATATGCAAAATTCGATCACCCCTATTACACATGAATTTGAAAGATTACAGAGACATTTTAGAGACATTTTCGAATGTCGATGTCGAGAGAGGTGTTTGTTGTAAGTGTTTGCAATATATCATAATTCTCAATTAAGACTACTCTAAAATGAAGATGGATCAAACATTTCTCAATAATATTCAATACTATTTTTCATTATGACCCAGGCTCTTCAAGAGGCAGTTGGAAGGCACTTGAGGGAAACTGGCAAAATGAGGAGAGATCAAACCGACTATGATTTGTGTGTAATGATGAGTCTATGGGTAGTGATGAACATGGACAAACACAGCTCTGTTGTTTGGTACATCACCTGGAGTAGTTCTGTACCATAACAAGAATGTCATTGAGGCAGGCACTTCAGGTGATGGCTCCGCACAATTCATCCAGCGGCTTTCCCCAGAAAAAAGAGTTCTTATTCAGCAGAATTTTTACGATATTGGAGTCTATCCTGGAGTGGTAGGATGAATCGATGGGATGCATACATATAAAACTACTCCACTCGATGAGGCCCCAGCCTACCTAAACAGGCACCATGCCCATTCAGTCCGCACGCAAGCTGTGGTTGATGACCAGCTCTTAATTAGGGACTTGTATGTCGGTGAACCTGGATCCCTGTACGGCTCCAGGATGTTTCGCCGAAGCCCGCTGAGTTCAAATCTGCTGGAAAACCCAGCTCTTCTAGCACCAGATGAACACATTCTTGGAGATAGTGCTTACATTTTGACTGACAAGGTAGTTTAGAGTGTTCGACATAAAAGTTTAAACATAAATAGTAAGTTGCAATCTGCAGGTCAAGGGAAAAACAGTTCAACTAAACCTGACAGTCTTTTAATAACAGTAAATCTAGGAAATATTAGTCAAAACTCCACTGAGTATTACTAGAAGGAAACATACTCAGTAATTAATTTTAATCAGGTACTCATTCCGTATAATGACAATAGAAGGCTGAATGATGATCAACGTCATCGTAATAGGTTGCTTTCTGGGGTTCGATCCCACGTAGAAAATGCCTTTTGTTGGCTGAGCGATTAGCGAAGCCCATTACTCCACTGACCAGAAAAGTTTCATTCTGTTTGTCTGTTTGTTTGTCCGCACGACAGCTCAAAAAGAATTGAGAGAGCTATCTGGGAATTTCAGGGTTGTTTTGTATCACAAAAAGACAGATCGAGTTCGAAGATGAGCATTCTAGCTCGAAAATTGACTTTTTAACAAATCAAAAACCACAGGTTGCGAAGTATTTTTTTTCAAATATTTTTTTTATGGGCTCCTAAGAGGTAACTCAAGAAAAACGAACTCTACGGGCTACAATTTCGTCCGTTTTGCTTTATCTTGTACCGTTTCGGCGCTATGGGGCATTTCTTGGCGAAAGTAACGTGAAAAAGACAAAATGGCTTATTAAATCGTAAAAAAGGCTTCATTTCACAGAATTGTAAGGGGAGTAACACTTAAACCACACATTACGGGTCGAACCACGCCGTCTTTTGGGCGTAAGGGTCCCTAGATTATCTAGCATTACTAAAACGTTGGTTTTAACAAAACAATCGGTCAAAATTCGAACTTTTAATGAAAACCGTTCCCGAACAGCAGAACTTTCATGTCCCTAACTTTAGAGTACTAAGACCCCGGCAAGTGGAGTATGTCAAATTTTGGGCACGGAAGGCCCTGTTTCCCTTTAACCTCTCCTCAACTCGTCTCGGGCTCGGGTGTCAGCGCCGCAGGCCTAGCTATGCGTGCGCCGGGCGCTTCGCAGCGTAACATTGTTTCGTGAGATATCGCGAAGCCTGTTACGTGAGACGTGGTCTGGCGTACATATAGGTAGTATATCTGGAGCACCTTGTTTCTGCGGCGTAGTTACCACTGCGGACCCCATTTGGGCTACGCTCGAAAAAGTCTTAAGCTTCTTTTTCTCTCCTGCCGCTCGCATGTCCGAGTGCGAGTGAGCGAGTGCGAGCGAGCACGATTAACACGAAACGGTACGCCCACACAGGCTTGAGGTGAGTTGTTGCATTGTTTGATGCGCGTGGTGCTACTTGACTTGTCTGTCTGTGTCCCTCGGTAGTTGAAAAGTGACAAAAATTGCGGGGAAGATGAGTGATAACAGCGACGGCGACCAGAACGGCGACCAGAACGGACGGCAATAACTATAGGTATAGGTATAGATAGCTATAGCTCTACACTGAGCCTGATAGCTTTACCTTGCTCCGCCAGCTCTCCGCGCAGGCAGCGTTCCCATATCATGAAAGGTACTCGGTCTAAAGCGAAATACCCTGGCCCCTGAGGGGGGTGGGGAGGGCGGGTCGGGCCATGTCCAACAGGAACGTCATTCCATAAGTTGTCACCACACAACGGGGCGCGACTGACACCGGTGCCATCGCAGCACAGCTGGCCCGACAACATGTAGGTCGGGGTCGCCCAAAAGACTTTGAGCGCGGGTTGAGCCCAGTTCCCCTCATCGCATAGGCCCCGGGACTGTTTCAGAGTCTTTCAAAAATAAACTCGCTTCAGAAAATTCGGCGTCGTGACCCCTAAAAATGCAACAACCTCACCAAGGCTTGCGGCGCCGACACCCGAGTCGGGCAAAAGGCAGAGTCGTTAATAGGCCTTTGGCCCCAAAAGTCACAAATATCTGAGAGTAAACATTCAATTGCTTCGGGGTCATTTTCGTGTGGAGAAGGAGTAAAAGTTTATTTTTTAGAAGAAATGTTTTGGGCTTTTTTTGACACATCAATTTTTGAACCAGAGGTCTCAAATTCAATACAGTTCCTTTTTTTATGATACAGAGTTACAATAAAAATTACAGCCCTCTAGCTCAAACCGTTCTTGAGTTATCGTGCGTGCTGAAAGACAAACAGACGCGAAACTTTTTGATTGGCTGAGCGATTAGCGAAGCCTATTACTCCAGTTCCAGTGATGATCAAAAAGTTTCGCGTCCGTCTGTTTGACTGTCTGTACGCACAATAACTCGAAAACGGTTTGAGCTACGACTCTAATGTTAATTGTAGCTTTGTATCATAAAAAGGAAGAACTGTATTATGAGCCATCTGGCTCCAAAATTAACGTCAAAAAGATCATAAACAAAAAGACCAAAACTTTTCTATGAGGAAATAGTTTTTTAACATCTTTCTTAGGGTAACTCGTCAAAGAAGAACCCCCTCCCCTGGGCTAAAATGTTGCCCGTTTGGCCCTATCTCTAACCGTTTGGGCGCCACACGGAAAAGACCCCAAAACATTTTAATGTTAACTCTCAGATATTTCATGGTGTCCGGTGGAGTAACTAATCAAACTGAAACTTCGAGGAACAAAAATAGTGACTTTTGGGGCCGAGGGCCGAATACCCCACCAGTAACTCGTCTCTGGTGTGAGCGCCGCGGGCCTAGGTAGATGTATGCCAGGCGCGTCGCAGCGTAACAGTGTTTCGCGAGATATCGCGAAGAATGCTACGCGAGACGTGGTCTGGCGTACATCTACCTAGTTTAAAAGTGAGTGGCTGTGAACTTTGTGCATTAGGTGATCAGAAGAGTGACGTTGGTGGGCCGTGTGGTTGAAGCTGCCGCAGCACGACGGTGCGTGACGGAGCTACCGGCGCGGACACGCACATCCCTTGCTGAATCCACGTGTGCAGAGGGGGTTAAGTACTGTGATAAGACTGTGATCAGAAAGTGTCTTGCTAATTTTAAGTTCACGCCACGTTTTTTTTGAAGTTGTTGATCGTATGAGAACGGTCCACTATGGCTCGCGTATTTGATGTCCTAAGATATTCCAATCAAACCAAGTGGAAAATATCTTCCCTATTCGATAGATGTGAAAGGGACACCGAATGTATTAAAAAGAGGCTTTATGGCATACATATGCCAGAAGGCCTCTTGGACAAATTGAAGTCAACAGGGCTGTATAAAGCCGGAGTACGGAGTATCATTCTTGACCATGCTATTAGTTAAGACAGGAGAGTGATCGATTCTCCCGTAGAGGCATACAAGAAGTATGTATAACAGGAGGTTTTTGCAGGGGACGTAGAGAGGTATATTATAAACAGGAAAGATGGTAAAATATTATTGGAGATATTAGAAACAGATAAGGGTAAAATTTACACGAATGATACAGCCACATTTATGATTGTTGGCTGAGCGATTAGCGAAGCCTATTCCTCCGTCTGGTCGAAAAAAACTTTTTCTGTCTGTCCGCACGATAACTCGAGAACGAATTGAGCGAGCGACCTGGGATTTTCAGGGTCGTTTTGTACCTTAAAAAGACAGGTCGAGTCCGAAGATGAGCATTCTAGCTCAAAAATTGGGGTCCAAAAAAAGACGTTTTTTCAAAATATTTTCGTTTTGGTTTTCTAGGGGGTAACTCATCAAAGTAGAGCCCACTGGGCGAAAATTTGGTCCGTTTTGCTCTATCTCTCACCGTTGAGGTGGTAGAGTGTATTTTTGACGAAAATAAGTGATAAAATGTGCAACCCTGCATGCTTAGTCGAAGTGATGGGCCGGAGGCCCGTATCTTTGTGTACATGTTGCCACTACCCGACTCGGGTGTCAGCGCCGCAGGCCAAGGTAGATGTATGCCAGGCGCGTCGCAGCGTAACACTGTTCCGTGAAATATCGCGAAGCCTGTTACGCGAGACGTGGTCTGGCGTACATCTACCTTGTAGGTAAAGTACTAGGTCGGGAAATAAGTCCTACCGTCCCCAAACATAAAATAGAAAGACTGAGAAAAGCCCACACTATAACATTGGACGCTGTCACCATTTCTTGAATCAGTGGCAGGATGGGAGCAAATGTTGTTCAAAGATTTGGGAGGAATTACAAGCATTTCTCGACACATTCCAGAGTATGGGAATCAGGTCTGGCTTGGTACTACTGCATAGAAAAGCTTGAAGAAGACAGGCCCAAGCCTAGATGCTAAAGATGCAACTGATATCATTAGGGGAGTGGTCAAAGGCCCAAGGCCCATTCCCAAGCGCCGATACTTGTGAAGTCAAGGACTCCTATGCAAAACAGTATTTCGGTGCAGATAAGATTTATAAATTCCTTGGCTACACAGTACTGGTCTTTGACGAAGTGGCATATATTATTGATAGTGCACAAATAGACCAGCTTGTAAAAGTCAGCAAAAGCTGGAAAGGTATCTATTCGTATGCCCATAATAGGGTATTCCAGGCTATCTAAAACGGAAGTAGGGAAAGAACAAACCCACTGACTTTTCTGTTTCCGTGATGACTCTGATTGGTTGAGCTGATCACGTGCCACGACGGCGTTTCAGGTATGAAAAACTGTCAGGTCAGTTTCGAGCTCGCCTCCATATTTGAGAGGTTAGAATCGGACCAAACTACCATGGTAATTTCTCATACTGAGCAGTAGGGTAAGTCGTATATCGCTTATTTTCGATTCTTGGGTTGTAATAGTGTTTTCCAGGCGCCATTTTGGATGAAAACTCCTGGAAACATTTTTTAAGTTTTTTCCTTTAACGTTTTCATAACCCTACCTTGCCTGTTATTCTGGCTTGCCATAAGAGGTGGTTTTTAAAACCTCAATTTTGGGCGTATTTTTTTCTTGACTTAACACGCAATTTTACGGCCCTCTGGGTGAAAATTTTAAGGAGAAGGCTCTATCTCTGCCGGTTTGCATGATATGAATTGTTTTTATATTGCTGTAAATAAGCAACCTTTTCCCTTCGAATAATAATTCGTAGCTTGAAAACCGGCTGAGATAGAGCCTTCTCCTTAAAATTTTCACCCAGAGGCCCGTAAAACTGCGTGTTTAGTCAATAAAAAATACGCCTAAAATTGAGGTTTTCAAAACTATCTCTTGTGGCAGGCCAGAATAAAAGGCAAGGTAGGGTTATGAAAACGTTAAAGGAAAAAACTTAAAAAATGCTTCCAGGAGTTTTCATCCAAAATGGCGCCTGGAAAACACTATTACAATCCAAGAATTGAAAATAAGCGATATACGACTCACCCTACTGAGCAGGCGGAAACAGATCAATCGGTGAGTTTGTTCTATTTCACTTCCGTTCTAGATAGCCTGGAACACCCTATTGGAGGCTTTGTGGTGATAGTAAGGCTGACATTATAAGGCCTTGAGTGATCAAGGTTATTGACATAATAAGGAATTGGATGGCAAGGACCTTGAAGACAAATAGCTATACTTGCAAATAGCATGAAAAAATCCCAGGCATACATAGACAAGCTGGGCCCGCTCTTCCGCCAAACCAAGTTGTCAGCTCCGCTTCGCTCCACCGGCAACTCGGTTCGGCAGGGAGCGGGCCCAGCTTGGCCTGCCGGCGGCGTTTGGGACGGGCCTTCGGCCTTCGGCCCGTCCCTTCTGAAT